TACCTAGCTTTATAATAATTACAATTATGTACATATGTATAATTGTGTGATTATGATTTTACAATTGTGAGTAACGATTATCACTCAAATAATCACTAGACTACAGAATTTTGCAAATCGCGATAATTGATTTTAATCGATTCTAATATTAATCGATTATCGATTCCATCCTTAGAGTGAGTATAAACATAATTTATTATGGAGCTTTGCCATAACTCTTAATGTTGCAGTTGATCCGTACAATCTAAAGGGTTAACACATGGTTTATGGCGATATTATCCAAATCAACTTCTTTTGTCTAATAAAAAAAGTAAGAATTTGCACGATGATCGTATAAATTGATAATTCTCATGGACTAACAGACATTTATAGACCTATTCATTTCTAAAATTCAATTTTAAATTTTGTTGCGGGATTTATTGCGGAGGTTGCGGATATAAATTTATAACCAAATTAAATATAAAATTTATATGCTGAAACTATATTTTTAGTGCGGAATTCAAAAATTGTTTGCGGTCCGCTTCGCACGCGCGTGATTTTTTTGGATCCCGCACGGGATTTTACTATGATAATCAAAATTTAGATCACTGATCTGCATTAGCATTCCTTACGTATCTTTAATACATGTTTTTACAATAAAGTAAAAATTTAAATATCAATATATATATTATAAAAATAACTATTCAGAACAACAAATTTTGTATTTACATTCATTTCTATCCCGCATATCACGCGCGGATCTTGCATCTCGCGCGGGATATTTTGGAAACCTCATCACTACACTGGACCTATTGCTATCATATAAATAAGTTGACAATTGTATATCGCTATTGGATTAACAATAATGTCTGCTAAGTATTTTATCGCGGGTTGCAAATTGATGTATTTTTGATCAAGTTTTACTGATCATCTTTCTTATTAAAATCACCGATTGTCATCCGATTGTGCGATTGTGCAAAACTATTTAAGCATAAATTAAATGTAGAAATAAAATTTTCATAAAATATTAATTCTGTATTAAACATTTGAATATGAAATCACTTTAAATAGTGCAAATGGACGAAAATCAGGAGAATTCACATGTTAGCTAAGATATACAAAATTTGATCAAAAATACATCATTTTGCAAACCGTGATAGAAAGTTTAATTCGACAAATATAGCATTTAAAAAAAAAAAAAATTCAATAAAAAATTCTTTATTTACCGAAAGTTTTTTTTCATCTAGAATATCACATAAAAACGATATGGCTAAACAGTCAATAGATAGTATTAATCAATTCACTAGCAATTTTTGATCAATTAGGTCTTATTAATTGGCAAAAAATCAACAGATATGAATAATTCTGATGAAATATTCATGCTTGGTATTGCTATTATCATGGGATCGATGTTGAAGCATTTGAACATTACCAAAAATGAACAATTCTAATGGAATCTTTAAAACTGCTAATTGTTACTATTATGGAATCGGAGTATAAAATAGCAGAGATAAATTTAAGTAAGGATCAAAAAGTAAATTAATTTCAATTTTTTTGCTATAATATTTTGTAAGTTTAAACGTCACTCGTAAAATTTTAAGCTAAGAATATAATTAACCCGAATGTTAAATTTTGTGATTTAAGCTCATTTGTATATATTTAATTTAGCTCGTGAGTAAAATTATTTATGAAACTGAGAATTAAATAATAGTGCTTATTTATCAAATATCCTTCAATTAATATGTGAGTACAAAGGAGATTTATTAATTGGTGGAATTTAAATCAACCAATCATGAATATAAATACTTATTTCCCATTTTATGATATTTACTTTAATTTAGTCTGTGAGTATAAAGAGGATTTATTAATCGGTAGAATTAAATTAACAAATCATAATTATTAACTATTACAATTTAATTTGCATTAATTTAGTGGGCGAGTATAAAGAAGATTTATTAATCAGTGGAATTATCATAAATCAACAAATTATTAACATAAATATTTATTAACAATTATTTAATACCCTTTAAATCATTTCATTCGCATTAATTTAGTTTGTGAGTATGAAGAAGATTTATTAATCAGTGAAATTAAATCAACAAATCGTGAACGTAAATACTTGTTTATATTACCTAATACCCTTTAAATTATTTAATTAATATTAATTTAGTCTGTGAGTATAAAAGAACATATAAACATTAATTCTTATTTAACTATTACTTTCAAATCATTTATTCGAATTAATTTAGTAGGCGAGTATAAAGAAATTTATTAATCTGTAAAATTAAATCAACGAATTATAAACATAAATACCTATTTATCATTACTTTCAAATCATTTTATTCGCATTAATTTAGTGGATGAGTATAATGAAGATTTATTAATCAGTGGAATTAAATCAATAGATTATGAATAATAAATACTCATTTAACATTAATCAATACCCTTCAAATCATTTCGTTCAGCATATGAGTATAAAGAAGATTTATTAATCGGTGGAATTAAATCAACAAATTATGAACAAAATACTTATTTACTATTACCTAATACCCTTTAAATAATTTCATTCGCATTAATTTAGTCGGTGAGTATAATTTTAAAATCACATTGAATGTTAAATATGTATTATACAACATAATATTTATGGTAAAGATCTCCTATCTACAGGATATGCACACATTGTAATGAAGACAACACGTCTTTTGCATTGTGTCTGACATGTGATCCAGACATGACAATTCAAAGGTGGACAAGTAGAGACAAAAATTGATGTATCAGATAATTTCAACTTAGAACATTTAAATATGAGGATGTAATTGAATGGATTCCATTCAATAGATTATCTGATATTAAAGAAATTGGCAAAGGAGGATTTGGCTCTGTATATTCGACAATCTAGTTAGATGGCGTACGGAAATTGATGATGACTATAATTACGTAAGAGAACGTGAATCATCCAGCATCGTTGCACTCAAGACCTTGCCTAATTATACTATAAGGAAAACAAGTTGAATGTTTTAAAAGAAGTAAGTTTATTTGTCACTTCAGAATAATCTAATATTGAGCTAATTCATAAAGTTTAAAGATCATATGATATGTCAATTTAATTATATTAAGCTTAAAATATATGGAATAACCCAAAATCCCAAAACAAATGAATACTTGATGGTGATTCAGTATGCCGATAATGGAAGTCTTTATAAATATTTAAGAAAAATTTTTAGAGAACTTACATGGCAGACTAAATTAAATTTACTTAAAGATATTTCATCTGAATTAGAGAGTATTCATATATAGGATACATTCATGCAGACTTACATAGTGGTAATATTTTGCAAAATCAACGCACTAATAAAAATATGCGATCTTATATCGCAGATCTGGAATTGTCAAGAAAAAAAGATGAAAAAGTTTCAGAAGGCGATATTTATGGACTCATGCCCTATGTTGCACCAGAAGTTTTATCAGGCCAACAACAGTTTACACAAGCCGCAGATATTTATGGCATTATTATAACAGAAATGTCAACTGGACAAAGGCCTTTTGATGGGCATGAATTGATACTAAACTTTCAGTAATAATTTATAATGGAGAACGTCCAAAATTTGCATTCTGAAACTTCTAACTGCTATGTTGAATTAACTAAGCAATGCATGGATCCTGATCCACGGAATTGACCTGAGTTTATTTCAAAATTTGTGATTGACTTAATGATAAAAATGAAATTGAAAAGCAATTTTTAGATGCGGACAAAGTAGAGGTGCAATCCGTAAACTAGTAGTTAATATAAATAAACTGTAGTTTATTGTAAAACTGTAGTTTTAAAATAAACTACAGTTTATTTATATGTACTGTTATCCACAGTTCACATCTTTAGGACAAAGTTATTAAAACGTTGTCGGCATGTATATTAGTAAAATTATTAGCACAAAAATAATTTCAAATACGATCAAAGGTATTGATTTTTAACTTGTATATTATGTTGTATTCATTTTATTTAAAATTAATACTATTTGTTATTTAGATGTCTCAATCTGATTCTGGCCAACTTACAGTAAATTTGATGTTATTAATTAATAGTTAAAAAATACTTTTAATTGAATTTATTCTCTAAAATTATATCTTTCTAATTTTGATCGTTACATGACGTCTCTTCGCTGGCATTATTACAATCCGGTTTTCTGTAAAAAATCTTTTTAAACTTAAAATTTTTTCCTCATATTATAAAAAAAAAACTATATTAAAAAATCTGTATTAGATAAATTATTCAAGCTAAATAAAAAATAAAATAAAAAATAATATTTTTATTAAGGAAACCAAAACATTTATTATTATTAATTATATAAATAAAAATTAAATGTAATAAATTATTAGACTAAGTATTGAATAAAAATAAATTTACAGTATACAAATTGATATTTTGATAATATTCCATGAGAGCCATAATAATATATTTGATTTTTTATTATTAAAAAAAAAAATTAGTTCATTTAAAAACCGAAATCAACTTCAACTTAAATCTGAATTCAAAACTCGCTTTAGTAGAATCCAAATCCCCAGACCTCCTATTCAAAAAAAGCGAAGAATTTTAAGAGCATATAGTGAATTCTCAGCAATTATCAACAAAAATTAGAATAAATATAATTCTTTTAAGTTGTTATATTCATACGACTTCAAATGATTATTTTAAAGTCGCAAATTATTTATTCTTAAACATATTGTTAATTACAGTACATAAAATAAATAAAATAAAATAAAAATTAGCTAAATTGTTTTTTTTAATAATAATAATAATACTTTTTAAAATCCATTTATTTTATATGAAAATAAAAAAGTTCGTCAAAAATGGTCTTTAAAAACTCATTGAATATAAAGTTCGTTAAAATAATTTTTACAAAAAGAAAATTTTTACATATTTAATTATTATAGAAAAAAAAAAGTTCTTTAAACAAACTTTTATGAATATTAAAATTCTTTACAAGGAAATGTCCGTTAAATAAAATATACCGATTGCTAGTAAATTACGATTTAACATAATCCATAGTCTTATCTGTTTCTTCTGATGTGTAACCAGCAGTTTTTTGGTGTAATCTGATAGGTAATGCAATTGGAAGAGGAGTGCCGGAACCATATCCCATACCGCCGATTGGGCCAAGACTATTATAACTGTTACCATCTCTGTAAGATGGAGTTCGTATATTATCTAAGTCGATATTTGGGCGTGAAAAATAACTAGTATTATGTTCTGGTAATGGATAAGGCCTGTAAAAGAGTTTGAAAAGGTTACGATTTCAGAGGGTATCAATAAAGAAACGGCAAAAGGCAAGTAAAAAAAAAAAAATGAAAACTCACGTTGAACCAGCAGGACCAGAAGTAGGACCCTAAATTTAAATGGATTTAACATTATTTCATTATAGTATAACAACAAAGGAATGAAGTCACAAATTTATTACCTCTTTATAGAATTTCATTATTAAATGTATTTCTCCTGCGCCTTTACCACTTGGTCTTGCAATATTAATCCATTGATCAATACCTCCAACCTGATAAACAGTGTCTAATGAAACCGTAGCTTCACCTTGTTAAAATGAAATTACAAAAATAAAGATTAGAGAGAGCATAAATATAATAATTAAGATGCAGGTAATAATTATCATGCCTAAGATATCATCTTCAGCGCATTCATCAATGACTTGCACGTAGAGTTCGTCACGTCCCTCAACAATATCACTAATGTTATAAGCATATAAATAGAATGCACATACAAAAAATCACGGCAACGTGACGTAACCATTGCACGAAGATCAAATTTTAAAACACATACAAATAAAACTGTGTGTTCCAAGAAACATCTTGTCCAGAATTCTGAAGAATATGTGTTTTCTTTATATTAGTCTTATCCAAAGATAAAGTAACGTATGGATTCACTTTATCTAAAATTTAGCAATTCATAATGATAGATAAATTTCGATATTTATTTTCTTTGAGTAAAATTGGTCATATAATATGTTGTTTTAAAAAAGAAAATACTGACGAAGGAAGTCGGTTTCTTTAAGTTTTTGAGCTTCAACTTCATTTTTTAAAAAAAATATGCGAAATAAAACGTTTAATATATTCAAACTTTAATGATTTCAAATAGATAAATTTATAACAATCGAATCCTCTTTTACCGACAACAACTTCAAGCTGACCGTACGGCATATTTTTGAAGGAAACAAATTAAAGGAAAAAAAATATATCACAAAGACATTCAATGCTTTACGGCAATTCTTAAATACGTGACTATCAATGTAATGCACTTAGCCCTTTCTAGCCACATATTTGGCGAAAATCTTTAAACCCCTAAAGGCTCATTATTAATGTTAGACAATTACATCATTCATGTGCTAAAAAAATGGTTTTCGCACCGACTTTCCTTAATGTTAATGAATTACTATATTAAATTAATACTTTAATGCATAATTAAAATAGCTAAACAAAAAAAAACTTAATTCTAGTTTTAAAAAGTTAGGCTGATTGCTGTGATCATCATACTATACTATTATAGTGCAACGCTATTTAGAATTCTAACTAATTAATCAAAATATTTCGTCATAAAAAAGGTAAAGTTTATTACAAATCTTTGAACAATGTTTATGTTTAATTTATCATACACCTTACTGTAATTAGGTGTAGAAAAAATTTATTATATTAGACTTTTCAAGAATAATTACTTAATTTTATTAAAAATGATGGATTGCGTATAATCATTATTCAAATAAAAATCGTAATATATTCTTTATAAATAATATAAGCAGTACGTAACAACTGGCGTCAAACATAACTGATATATAAAGCGGTGCAACAGCTCACTAAATTGGAGTAACAGAGTATAAATAGTCAATTTCATACTCCGAAAGTTAACAACATTGCGTATGTTCTCATGATAAAGTAAAAGAGTTTCCATTATTATATTTTAAATTTGGTAGAGGAAAATACATGGAAATTCTATTACTATTATAGTGGTTAGTCTTATAGTAAGAATAAGTTATCTTATTTATTGAAATAGACATTTCTGATTCTTTTACTGACTCATAGTACTAGATATTTATCTAAATTTAGAACAAATAATATTTTTTAATATAATGAGCCGGAGATAAAAAAACAAAAATTGTGTTTAGTAATCAATCTTTATTATGAAAACGCAATTCGCAATATAGATCCATTTCAATACTACTGTATTTGATCCTAAAACCTTTTAAGAATTACTTCAATTCGTATTTCTTTCACGAAATAACGTTATTTGGAATTTGGCCATTTAAAATAAAAGTATAATTGCCTTAAATGAACGCCAATCTGCCAAAATTGACCCTGCATTTCAAAATGATTGTGATTCCAAACTTGGGTCCAGTGAAAACGGCTCCTTGGTAAAATATTATGAGTTTCTAATAATATAAAAATTATTTAAGTATCGGGAAAATTTGCCCCGTACTGAAATTACAAAGATAAATAATTTTGTAAAGGAATAAAATAATTAAATAATGATAAATGTTCGATATGAGTCCAAAAGTTTCATAATGAAAAACCTCATGTTTTTATTAATAAGTTATTGGATGTGAAATATCAATAACGGGAGTTATTACTATATTATCTGGCTGAAAGTCAAATAAACAAGTTATTGGTATGTAACATCCAATAACGATGATCGGACTGCCAAATACGTAATTTAGTTATTTGGCAATGTGACGTCATTTTTGCCAAATAACTTTGTTATTTGGCAGAAATGACGTCAACACTGCCAAATAACCAAAAGTTATTTGGCATATTAAGATATCGGATAAAAAATTTTAATCTCCAGGTTACCCACCTATTTAAAAGATCTTTACCGGGTCATCTCAAATAACCCGAGTGACCCGGGTGACCCGGTTACTCATAATAAGAAAAATTCAGCTATAAATAAATTAAGCGAATTCCAATTTTTTGGCATTACAAAATTTAATTAAATAATGCTTATATAATACGAAACAGGTATTATTAAATTTAACATAAAAATAGATATTAAAACCTTAAGGTCTAAACTTACGCTGAATATCTTTGATCGCTAGTTTCCAGAAATTTAGTATATGTTCGAAATTTTTACGTGTAATTAAATAAATCAGCCACGAATTTGTGTTTTAGGTTAATCAATACAGGTCGCCGTCACCCGGGTAGCACCCATTTGAAGGTTTTATACGGGTCACCCGGGTGACTCATATACGGGGTACTATTACTATTTTCAGTATTTTGTTAATTACCATCGTTATGTTGTTTTGATATTATAATCTTGTTAAGCGAATGATTAATTCTATTACTCTTGAAATCCGAAAACATTAGAGTCCAAGAATTTTCAATTTAATATTCATGAAGAAATGCAGCATTCATATTAATGATTCCATACTCTATATTGACAACATTTTTGAGATGTCAATATTAAAGCAATCCTGAAAAAAAATAAAACTGTCTGTAAAGGCTACAATAACATTTAAGCAAACTTGTTATCGTTATGAAAACATTTATATAAATTTGCACATGTAATGCAAAGCCTGTATATTGCGATGTTAACGATAAAAGTAACGACTTGTAAGTTGCGCGTTATTTTAAAAAATATCAAGTCCTAGAATTGATTATTCAGTTTTGGACATGAGTTTGGACATTTTGATAATAAAAATAAATAAATTGTTATTCACTCTAAATTTTATTAAGATAACCTATTTAAACATTTTAAGTAAAAATATTTAGAATTAAACCGAGAATATAATCATTAGGGTTCTGCAGCCCGACATGTGCTCATGTCCAGCAAAATTTTAGGCAGCTGGCACAAAAGATGGGCATAGATATTTAGTGCCTAGCCTTAAAAGTACCTGG